CACATAACTACTTATCGTATCGACGGTTTGTACACCAAGGAGATCGAATCCCATTGAGGTAACTGCCCAAATCTTAAGCCCAGTAATGACTTTGACGTCATAACCAACAGTGGTAGTTTCGTTATCGCTAGTGATGAATATCCCAACCACTCACAGGGCTACTGAGGCCGTGGTAGGGGACCCTGGACCCCTGATGTTAGACTTAGATGGTTAGAAGTTGCATGGAAGTACTAGAAGATAGAAATTTTGAAGTTAGACATGAACAGTTAGAAGATGTGTGGCATGGTGAAAGGTAGCAGTTCTGAGGTTAGAGGTTGTATTGGTCAGAAGATGTATCTGGTCAAAAGATGGGGACTAGTCAGAGGTTGAGCGGTCAGAAGATGTATCTGGTTAGAAGATGGCATTAGTCAGAAGATGTGGTGGTCAGAAGATGTATCTGGTCAGAAGATGGGGACTAGTCAGAGGTTGAGTGGTCAGAAGATGTATCTGGTCAGAAGATGGGGATTAGTCAGAAGATGAAATGATCAGAAGTTGTATCTGGTCAGGAGTTATAGTAGTCATAAGATTGTGTCGCCCAGGGGTTGAGTCATCAGAAGTTGGGTATTTAGAAATAGTGTTGGTTAGAGGTTGCGTGGTCAGAAGATGGATTGGCCTTTACGTTGTTTTGTGCATAACGACGACCGTTAGATGCTAGAAGCTGTTGTTTGAGCTATAAGAGTAGGAAAGTGACTGTAATGACGTTAGAATTGCAGACTGGCAGTATTATTTTACTGTAGAATTAAATTACTGTTGAAGTGTTAATGAGAAGTTATTAATAATATTGTGATGATGATTTATAATAAATAAATGATGTTTGATAAATTATTTTGATGGTCTGAGATGTTGATTAATTGAGATGTTTTGAGATGTTAATTTGAGATGTCTTTGAGATGTTAATTTGAGATGTCTTTGAGATGTCTTTGAGATTTTATTTTGAGATGTATTTTGAGATATTAATTTGAGATGTTTTGAGATGATTTGAGATATTGTTAACTTGAGTGTTGTTATTACATTCATGGTTGTGTCGCATACATTGCATTTTTTTGAGATGGAGCTTATGCTCGTTGAGATGGCCTGGATTGGCAAATTTTGAGATGAAGGTTATGCCTTGTTGATGCCTCTATTAATTGGTAAATTTTTGAGATGGGAGTTATGCTCCAATGGTACCACATACATTCGCATAGTATTGAGTCGCATTATATGATTTCATAAAGAGGTGTATTTTGATGTGGATGAATGAATATTATTGTTGAGATTGTTGTTGATTATGAGATGAGAAGTGGTGATGTTATTGATCTAATTTAATATATTAATTATCATGACTTTTGTTATATTGTTAGATATCTCACCCCTTCTGTTTGAATGTTGCCCTTATGTTGGTAACGTGCAGGTAATCGAGAGTGAAGGTTGTGTATCTTCAATAGTTCAAGTCGGTGTCATTGCTCTGATATATAACACTCGGGGGGATGAACGCTTACTGATTTTTGATTGTTGATTTTCAGTTGTTGAACTTTAAATTGATGTTATTAAATATGAGATGTTTCGAAGTTGCTGTTTTGATTAAAGAAGTTTATTGAGAATTCCGCTGCGTAGTTGTTGAATTATTTAATGAAAGATGTTATGTTCATGGTTCATCCTAAGTTTTGAAAAAGTGTTATATATCCATGAAGAATGCAATGAAATTGTTAGAAGAATTTGTGACGTCCCGATTCATTTGTGTGATTGAAATTTTATGACTCTGATTTATTTTGCATAATTTCTTGGGGTAGAATTAGGGTGTTACACCAACGGAGCAAAACTCCCAACTTAATAATCTGCCAATTAATAGAGGCGTCAACAAGGCATAATCCTTCAACTTTATATTTTTCAATCCAGGCCAACTTACCGAGCATGATCTCCCAACTTGATATGTTATGTATGCGACAATAATATAAATGTAATAATAACAACAATAACTCAACACAGTTCAACATTGGCCATAAGCCTACAACTTAATATCTGCCAATAATTAGAAGAATCTCAATAAAACTCATCATCACCTGCAAATTCTCAAATTACAACAAAGTATACGATACACCGTATTAACCAAAATCTACTATGATGCCCTGGAAAGTTATCCGGGTAATTCGACTGCATACTGCTAGTCACTTATTAGTTATATTACCTCTCTTACTACTAACTTAATTTTACTAGGATTTATTAATCGTATAGGAATAGAATATCTTAAGAATTCTAATCATTATTATACTGAGATTATTAAACTAATTTAAATAACTAATTGCTCTGTACAGGAGCGTTATGGGGTAAGGAAAGAGTATGTGCCCTTCAACGTGCAGGGGAATAACAGTAGAGTATGTGCCCTTCAACTTCTCAATTAACCCTATTCTTTATTTTAAATAGAATCTTACAATATTATTTTTAGTGGGCTTAACAACACACTCCCTATATGTCTAGTTCCAACCATTAAAATTAGGCCCAACACAATTATTCTATTATTCTACTAATTCTAATATTATTACTACTATTAATCAACTAATTAATTAACTAGTAATAATATAGCAACTTATGTCAACAATTCACAACATCTCACAACTTCAACGAATAATTCGAAATTAATTAATTAAATTACGGGTGTTATAACTCTCCCCCACTTAGAATATTTCCGTCCTCTAAAATCTACTAGATACTACCACTCTTAACACGAATTTCGCATCTCACTCTCTGATCCTCAAATCGCGTTTGGCAACACTTCGATCACTACTTTCCCGACATAACAATAACTCAACACGATTTAAATCAAATACACACATGCTAATCATTTAACACCTTCACGGCATAATCATTAATAACTTATCAACCACTTCAATAATATTTTGACATATCAACATTTACAGTAGTAACAACCATAACACACTTATACTTGGATATACAACATCACATTATCATCTTAACAATATTTTCAACACCAAAATACATACACAATTTTATTCCCATATATATATATATATATATATATATATATATATATATATATATATATATATATATATATATATCAACAAATTATGAACAACTCTATTCATATCGTCATATTATGAGTAAACCAAGTCATTTACATCTTGTGGCAGCAAAAAGAGTTCTAAGGTATGTCATGGGAACCATAGAGCATTGAATCAGGTTTGAGAAGAATTCTAAACTTGAAGCAAAAGGCTATTGTGATAGTGATTGAGCCGGAAGTGTTAATGATATGAAGAACACTTTAGGTTATGTATTCAACCTTGATTCATGTGTGATCTCTTGGTGCTCAAGAAGCAAGATACTATGGCACAATCTTCAGCTAAGACTGAGTATTTAGCAGCTGGTTTGGCTACACAACAATAACTTTATTTGAGAAGAATATTATAAGACATTGGAGAGAAGCAGAAGGGAAGTTTACAGCTTTATTGTGATAACAAATCAACTATTGCCATAACAAAGAATCCTGTTTTTCATAATCAGACCAGACATATTAACATAAAGCATCACTTCATTCGAAGTATGATTGAAGAAAGAGATGTGCAATTAGCTTTCTGCAGTTCACAAGAGCAGCTTACAGACATCTTTACTAAAGCACTACCAAGAGGAAGATTTCATCAACTTAGAGACGCAATGGGAGTTAAAGAGCAACACATTAAGGGGGAGTGTTAAAATTAATATGTTGTAACCACCATTATATTTAGTAAGAATTATTAGAGAAGTGTAACCATCACATTATAATTATTGTCTTCATTTTTAGATTTATGGTAGAGTTGTATCATTAAGATTGAGAGATCCAAATAGTCCTCATCTTGATTACCAACTCATTGTATTCTCTATCAGTTTCTTTCAAGCCTATATAAAGGCTTTGTAATGCTAAGTTGTAGCAAATAAAAAGTATGTGTGGTGAACTCAATAAAACCGGGGTATTTCAAAGCCTAACCTCCACCAGTGGAAGTTTAGTGCAAAACGTGACAGAAAAATATTTTCTTACTCTAAATTCTACAATAATAACCACCAACAGAAAACATGCATTGCACTCGGTTACTCTTTTCTCACTTCACTCAGATACTTTGAGTATATTGAGTTTTCTGCAGTAATGTCAACACATGAAATCTAACACTTGAATTTCCTATTTATACTGAAATCTAAATAATTGTAACTAACATTCCTTTCTCCAGAAGGGGACACATTTTCGTCAGCATGCGTTCCACCCTCTATTTGCTTTCACACGTTCTTCAGATGCGTATAAGGCTAAAAAAATAGTTACTTACTCTCGTTTCACATTCCACCCTTCTTAGTCGAAATAATCTTCAAACTTATTCCAAAACTTTCTAAGTTCTAAACATTTCTACGCGCATAGGACCTTCGACACATTTCCTTGAACGTGCATGTCAAAATACTCTTATAACGTGCCTGTCGAAGGAACACCCACATAATCAACTAATTTCTCCAAGTGTTTCCTTCGGCCTTTTTGGATATATAAAGGTTTGAGATGCGTAAGAAAATCCAGCTAACATGTCCAAAAAATATGACACAAGGAATCAAATAATTTACTAGCATTGGAATACTCTAAAGTCCCAATTTACATTTGTTTTCTCCTATACTAACTTGAATTACATGATTTCTTTTCTATGAATTGAAATTAAACTTCACTTTTTATACGATAATTATGTTAAATCAACTTATATCTCTGGGATCTTACATATGTCAAGACAAATTGACCAAAATCTTTATATTTATAGACACTTTTAACAAATATAGAATCAGTTTAGAAGATTATATTAAAGTTGGATGAAAAGAAATATGAATATTTATTTGATGTATCAAAGAATAAATGAATTGACATGAAACATATTACAAGTAAAACCAATTGAACTAGCCTAATTTAGAGGGAAAAAATAAATTAAATCTTCAAGTATATAGTTACAAATAGGTAGATATAATTAGGATGTTGTGCATTCTATTGGAAGTCCTTGAGGAAATCTTTTGGTGTCATTGCAATAATTGTAAATCATGTAATTGTTTTGCACCCAACTCAATCTCTGTTGACTTGTTGAATCCAACTGTTGGGAATACCAAGCATTGGACGATGAAGCATCAGCATTGAAATTTCTGTATGACGCTATGAATGGAGCTTGATTCCAATCTGTCTTGACAAGACCACCTCTTGTTGCCCAATCATCAGCATTCCATAAACTTGAATATAATCTCATTGGTTGGTTGTTTGGAAATGCAACTCCTTTTGATTCCATGTTTTTGAATTCTCTTATAGGTGTTCCATCCACTGAGAAGCTGCATTCAATAAATATACACACACACGTGCTCATCATTAATCAAGACTGAATGAATGAAATCGAAAAGTGTGTGAAATATGTAAAAAGCACTTACATAATGCGTTGAGGATTCCAGAGAATGGAGTAAGTGTGGAAATCAGCAGTTGGATCAAACCATAGATAGAATTGTTGCTCTCTATTACCTTTGCCTTGACTGAACACATTGGTATGAAGAATGTATGGTTGTCCACTTACATTTCCCAAGAATTCAAAATCAACCTCATCCCAGTTTGATCCTTTTGATGATAACTGCATCATGCCATATCAAAAATAAATAATTAAGAAATTTGAAACTTGATTACTATAAGCATTAAAACAGTAAGCGTGATTTGTAGTTACATAGTAAGCAGTGACGGTGCCTGCAGAATTTCCAGGTACAAGCTTGAGCTGCATATCAATGTTTCCAAAGAGATACTCGTTCTTGGATTGAAATCCAGAACCAGAGGCTTTGTCGAGAGAAAGTGTGAGAAGTTGACCGTTGTCGAGTATGTTGGCACGACCATCTCCCCAAGTTATGTCAAAGTTCTGATAGAAATTTCCTGCAGCATATGTTGTGGTGAATGAAAGAAATAGCAACAGGGAGAAGAGAAAAGAGATGGTTGAAGAAGTATGAAGAAATGGCATGGTGGATTTGTATTGAAGGCGTGGTGATGAAATAAATGTTGAAGGGATGATTGTGGCAGAGAAGTGGGATATGTATTTTATAGTGATACATTTGTGGAAGGAAGAAACAGAGGAAAGTACAGTCGCTCGGATATGTTGCCGTGTTGACAGCTAGGTGTAGTCTGTAGTAGTTTTGGATTGCATGATGAATGATGAGTTGGCACAAATATTCACTTAATTAGTATTATATACAAGAGCCAAGTTTACAAGTGGTGGGTACAGTATTACTCGTTTTATTTTTTTGCAGCCAAAATATAAGACTCAAAGTAGTTAAGGTTTAGGAGACTCACATTTCTTGCGGTCGAAAATGCAAAGTCGGTTTCTATGTTTAGTGTGGGGAATCAAATTTCATTATGTTTATTTCTTTTGGGCAGCCAAGCACTACCGGTCAATCATTATCACCAACCCTCATATGATGGTATATGACTAGGAATATTGTTTACAATATCAGTTTTTAAAACTTATAAATTTATATGCTTAAATAAGACTCCTTGATAATCTTATTTTCTTTATTTGAAATTAAAGAATATTAGTAAAAAGAAATATGTGTTATTGTATGAGTTTCGTTTGAATTTATATTATGTATTTATTAAATTATTAATTATAAAGTTTGAATTCATTATTCAATTGATTAACATTCACATAATTACAAACCGTATTTATAATATACATCAATTTTTAAACATTGATATGTATTTATAATAATATGTACATCCGATTTTCTAATTTCAATTATATAAAACAACATCAAAAGAAAGATTTAAAAAATTGATATTAAAATAAACAGTCAGGAGCTGGTATCTCATAGATATGTTCACATCTACACGTGAATCTATTTTCAAATTTTTACAAGAAAGTGTTACATTTTTTAGTCATTTTTATCTTTACATGAAAACACTTTCAATGTCTGAATTTTTATGCGTTTGAGTAGTGGTAGGATTCTGGTTGAAATGGCTCCTCTAAAGAAAACTTATCTTCCACAAAATAATCCTCCATACACATAACTACTTATCGTATCGACGGTTTGTACACCAAGGAGATCGAATCCCATTGAGGTAACTGCCTAAATCTTAAGCCCAATAACGACTTTGACGTCATAACCAACAGTGGTAGTTTCGTTATCGCTAGTGATGAATATCCCAACCACTCACAGGGCTACTGAGGCCGTGGTAGGGGACCCTGGACCTCTGATGTCCAATGTTTTACACTACCTCTAGTATATCTGTATGGCATGCCGACTACCAAGATGGTAAATTTACAAAGTCACGCTTTGACTTTTGCAGATAATGTCTTAACGACAACGTCTCCTCTAAGTCCATATTTGGCGTTAAGATCCATAAGCAACCTTGGTCGAATGGCGCAAACACAAGGAGGGATTGGATATGCTCATCCAGGTATGTCATCCTTAACTACAAATTCCCTTTTATCTATGAGGCAACAAATGGATGAAAGTAACTAAGAGATGGTAAACATACTTACACAATACATAGGCACTATGCTCAATTGATTACTTTAGAACACAAACCAGATCTACCAACAATTGGCCCATTAGATGAGTAGGTTTGTTGACTTTTTTGGTGTGCCCCAAGCGCCAATTATGCATAATCTGGTGCCTGTCAAACATCCCCCACCAAGCATAGTCAAAGCGACAGAGGCCACAATGGCCCTGAAGTAGTTATGTTACAAAGAAATCAAGATGTCGACCAAATACTTAGGAATATGTTGGCGCTTGACAATATACCTAACAAATTTTGAACCAAAATAGCCTTAACATTGGCCACCATATGCCCAATTACGTATCCCCACTATCGGAATATGTTCGACAAACTGAACTTCTCAGGGATTGGAAAGTCACAAAATTCACCAAATTTACTGGCAACACCAATGAGCCTGCAGTCGAACATATTATTAGGTATCATACTAAGGCTGGTGATACAGCCAACAATGAAAATATGAAAATGAAGTATTTCCCAAATTCTTTGACAAAGAATGCCTTAACGTGGTTCACCCTATTGCCTCCACATTCCATATTTAATTTGAATCAACTAGAAAGGGTGTTCCATGAACAGTTTTACATGGGCCAACTAAGATTAGCCTCAAGAAATTAGCTAGTGTGAGGTGAAAGGTGGCTGAAACAATAGACGATTATTTAAACATGTTTAGGATAATGAAATCAAGTTGTTTTAACCAAGTGTCTGAGCATGAATTATCCGAGTTGGCCGCATGAGGTATTGATTACTCAACTAGGAAGAACCTAGACACCCAGTACTTGAGAGACATGGTCCAACTAGCAGAATGAGCTCCACAAGTCAAACGCTTAAAGGCTGGAAAATCCAGGTCGAGAAAGTAGCCTACTTCGAAGTAGATGAAAAAGAAAATTCATCTGACATAGAAAGTGACTATGTCGAGGAAAATCCCGTCGAGACCTCTTATGTATGAAAATTGCTATAACCTTTGAATTGGAAAATCCCGTCAAGACTAAAAATGAGAAGTTTTTCACTAAGTGTGACGAAATATTTGATCTTCTAGTCTCTGATGGTCAAATTGTAATCCCTAAGGGGCTTAAGACACCACCATTAGAGCAAAGAAAGGAATTTTTTTTTTGCGAATTTCATAATTTCCTTGGTCATGAAACTTCTTTATGTATTCTTTTCATGGACCTAGTGCAGAATACTTTGAAAGACATGAAGATGAAATTTGCAGACAAGCAAAAGCCTCGAGTGGAGGAATATGTTGATCTCAAAGTTGAAAAAGCTCTCCTTGTCGAGCTTGTGGACATGTTGATGGTTGGTATCACTAAGGATATTGACACGACGAAGGTCGAAGCTAAACATGAAGGTCAAAATAATGTAGCTTTTCCTAAAGCTGAGGAGGAACTCATTGATTTTATGAACATATGTAGGTTGAAGGACTCTAAGGTCATGTTGTACCCGTGTTGTCGTGTCGTCTTTAATAAGAAGGCTGCCAAGGGATTAGAAAAGGCCAATCTTTACCAATCAAGGAGAGGAGATCAACAAGACAAACATAGAGAGTTTTTATTTAATAAGAGCGGAATGCCTTAGAGAACCCATCAAGGCAAGACATATGTACCTCCTTCCAATGTTCCCTCTAAGGAGTGGATTTTACCTACAGGGAAATCAACAACTGATAGAGGAAAATGGAAGGTGGTTAAAGTCGGCGTGGGATCTTCATACCAATAAAACTCCTAGACATCTAGAAAATACTTTTATGTTTCCAAGAAATACATGGGAAAAAATCCCATGACAAGAACGCAATGGAGAAGGCATCATAAGAACAAGAAAGTTTTCTTAGAAGCAGGAAGTTCTAACAAGAGTAGCAGTATCCAAGATGCAAATGAAGGCCAGTTATAAGAAGGCTTGTCAAGCAAAGACTATTTCTCTCACTACCACATAGCGAAAAATACAGAACCAAAGGCCAAGACAAGGGAACATGATGAAATGGTAAGTGATTATTTTGACTGGGGTTTTAAGCTTGGATTGGGTTTAATCAGCAACGTGATATATGTGTTGTCGTTAGAGTATGCCACAATCATTGAAGTGATTGAGGAGGAGTTCGGATAGGATAAAGAGATGGAAACCCACAAACCCTTATGCTATTATGTTATGAATGATGGCTCTATCAATGAAGATAAAGACATATTTGAAAGATCTGACATGGTAATGCAACAACATTTCAAGCCTTTTTATTTAAGGGATAAAGTTGAAGGTGTTAGTATAAACAAGGTTCTCGTAAAATGTGGAGCCTATGTTAATGTGATGCCACATTCCTTACTCAGGAAAATTGGAAAGTAAGATACATACTTGAAGCCTAACAATATGGTATTGTCGAATTATAAAGGAAATGCCAACAATTTGAGCCTTCAACCTCTGGTTTTCTTCGGAATATCTGGTGGTAATCTCCTTCCAATCACCTGAATCATGAAGTGAGCAACTAGCACCTGACTGAGGCTTAGAGGAAAATAAATCCCCTTGCATTTCCATGGTCTCTACAGCCCGACTCTCAAGAATATCAATCAAGTCTTCTTTCTCCTTCAAGTATGCTCTATAGGAAATCTTTAAAGTTTGGCACTTATTCTTCCAAGCATCCTTTTCCTGTTGCATCCTGACCAAAGCAAGTTGTAGCTCTTCCACATCATCCAATAGGGGAGGAGTGGTCTTCATAAACAAATCAGGCATATGTGCTTCTTGGGAATACGACATCTTCAACTGAATAGCTCTCCCCTGTACCCACTAAAGATGACGCTCCAAAGAAACAACCCCTCTAGGTCTTAAGTCTTTCCTACTCTTCCTATGAATGTGACGGCAGGCCTTCGCAATCTGCTCCCTGGATTCCTTATGGTCTTCTCCCTCCTTCAGGAAGAAACTACTCAAATGAATACTATTCGGTTTATCCCTCATCAGATAACCAAGCTGTTGTCTTGCAAGAACAGGGTTGTAGTTAATTCCTCCCTCCGTGCCAAGAAGAGGTACATTGGGGAAACTACCATAATTATCGATAATCTGAGTGAGTAAGTGCCATGATCTTAGGAGCTCAACAGGGTTCCTTCCTGACATCCCAAAAAGCATAAGACTGAGGCATATGAGAAATAAACCATTGGTACAACAGAGGCGGGCAACAGATAATCATCCCCCCATGATAAGAATTCCGAAGATGAATAAAGTAATAAGAATCACCCAACAATGTAGCAACTGGGTTTCCAATCATGAAGATCCTGATAGAATTAATGTCAACAAACTTATCCACATTAGGAAATAAAAGCAACCCGTAAGCAAGTAGAGCAAAGATGGCCTCAAAAGCGATTGTACTCTTCATCCTGGAAAAGTAACGAGCTTTCTCCAATAAGAACTGAGCTAGTAATCCTATAATCCCTCCTTTATTAGTCATATGGGCTTCAACCCCAGACTTCCCCAGATGGATCAAAGCAGCAATCTCGTGTGGTT